TGTGTATGTGAATTAATCTAAATAAGTTTCATGCTATCTTAAAGGACTGACTTTATTGCTATTTTTATTTTTAAGTTTTTTTGTTGGAAATATCTAGAATTTTTTTCTAACTGTGTAAAATGAAAAACAAAAAAGATTTGGCTTTGTATAAACATTGATACAATTATGCAGAATTTATGCCATACCTGCTCAAGTAAAGTGACATCATTTGCTGCATTCAGGCCTACTTCATGGTCTCACAATAATTTAGTTGGTTTGTTTTTCTGGGAGGGTAGGATATTAACTCTTGTACTTCTGTTCTTGGTATTCTAGTTGAAACATCATTTCAAGTTATTTTCTTGAAAAGTAATGATTTCTTCTAAGTACTGGTGCTGATGAAAATACAAAACATGATACATATTTTTTCTGTGGAAAGAAAATGCAGAACATTATTACCGATTATGAAGGTTTTTGTTTATACTTGTACTACTTATATCCATCTATTTGTCAGGAAACTAAAATAACATAACTCATTACTGAATAGTTCATCCAAATTGAATAAAAAGTCCATTGGTTTTTGTGTGTGTGTGTAAAACACTAGTATTTATTTATCATAGCATTAATTTGTGGATATCACCAATACCAATAATGTGATTTGTAGCCAGTAAATGGGCAAATGTATACCAACCATAAGAAAGACAAATAAAATTAACATAACTAATTTGTTATGAGACATATAAATTTTTATTTTATTTTATCAGTATTAATTTTTATTTGGAAAGATTGATTTATGTTCTTGTTGTGCAAAGGTGAAGACATGAAAGTGGTGGAAGGAGATGATGACTGGCAGTTTGTTAGCCTTGGTGAACAGGTAGGATGTATTAACTTGTTTGGTTATGATGACTTGTAGTTTGTTTATCTTGTTGAGTAGGATGTATTAACTTGCATGGTTGAAAGAAGGGATAATCATAATGGGTTTCAAATCGTTAAAAATGTTAATGTCTCGATCAGATTGCACATAAAAGTATAATATTCTTCCATAGCTCTTACATTTACCTTTATGATTAAACTGATTTTCAAGATATTCAAATCAAGCTTAGTCTCAGCTTGACATAGAATATGTCACACAATTGACTCTGAATATTGAGGGTTAGTTGCATTTGAGACTTTTTTTTCTGGCATCATATATATGCTCAGTCACATATCTAATATTATATATTGTTGCCAAACACCACAATTTTCATCGTAATGTGAAGAATGGAGTACATTCTTAGACCAATTTTTTTACAGATCCTGTACATGATGATGTTGACTTTCACAGACATGTTTAGCCAATCGAAAGGCACAAAAGTCTTTTGTAGCTGCATTATGGAACTTTTGGGTGGCTGAATGGGATAGTTATGTTTCCAGTTTTTCTTTAGCCATCCCATCTTTCTCTTCAAGAAAGCTGTTGGTTTTGAGGTTTGGCTGAAAGCTTGTAAAGTTGTGAGCCTTCTTCATTGCCAAGATTTTGCCTTGAATTAAACATATGGGTACATCACCATGGTTCAGATCTGTGGCTGCACTGTAAATACCATTGTATTTTGGTTAAATTATAGTTTAGAAAAAAACTTGCTCATTACTTCAGGGGTTTGAATAGGCAGAAAATATTCATGACTTAATGTTATCAAGGATTTGTGGTTGTGCCAAAATATTGTTCCTGAGCTAACAGTTAATAGAATAAAAAAAAATAATGGTTAGTTTCAGTAATAATGTGTGTATAATGGTAAGATACTTTACTTAATGAATAATGTAGTGCTTTTGCTATGTAGAAAACGACTAGTGTTTGGTGTTTATAACATGGTTAACGTTTTTGTAATATGTAATATGCTGAAGGTTAGTGTTAAACCTCATCTCTTTTCTCTGAAGTTCAGAAGTGTTCCCTGTTTTCAGCTGTTCTATTCCTGATTTCGTATTTGTAGTACTTGCTAAAAATATTTCTTATTTGACAATAACTAAAATGTAAAACTTAAATTATACATTATTTTCATCTACAGAAAATACTGTAATTTAAGTACATTATTTTGCTTCAGCAAAACTTTGGAATCAGAACAGTGGGCCTGGAAGAAAAAGCAACAGCCTGCCAAATGTTAGTGTGTTATGCTCGTGAATTAAAGGAAGGATTTTCTGCATATACAGAAGAAGTAGTGAAACTGATGGTGCCTTTACTTAGATTTTACTTTCATGATGATATCCTTTTTTTTATAAAAGCAGTAAATGTTTTTTATGCTAAAAGTATAGAGAAAAAAATGCAACAAAATATGTTTTTTGGGGAGTAGAACTATGTAAATGTGTTCTTTTAGTTATGTGTCAATCTCATCTGTAACAATGTCTTTTTGATCTAAGATAGTATTTCATTAGTATTGAAAAAAAGCAAACGTAGTACTTCATAGTTTTAATTTGTACCACATTAACTTAGTGTTGTATCCGATTTTATTGCACAAGTTTTAAAAGAAGTCAAATTATTTTTATTTTATATTAATTGTGATTAATTAAACGTAGTACTAGCTAAATATTATAAAATTTCAGTATTATTCATCTCGTTTTGAGAAGTTTAATTCCCTTAATTTTGCACACGTGTTCGAACCGCAGCTGCTGAGTGCCTTCCTTATCTGTTAGAATGTGCTCGAATTCGTGGAGAAGATTACCTTGCAGAGATGTGGCGATATATTTGTCCAGAACTTTTAAAATCAGTGGATAGTGAACCAGAGAAGGAAGTACTCTCTGAACACATGCATGCATTGGCCAAAGTAAGAGTGGGAAAACAATTTATTTTCTTTAAATAGAAGATTTGATAAAGAATAGTAAACACAGGAGGTATTGTAGGTTGTTTAGAAAATCTGTGCAAAACATTCCTGTCTAATGTTAGAGCTATATGCAGACTTAAAACATGAAAATGCTTTGATTATAGATTTTTTTTTTTTTTCTGATATCACATAAACCTTGGGTGTTTTTCTAACTTAAGGACTATAATCCATGTCATAGGCATTGATGTTGATATTCTTTGCCTAGAGGACTGTATTCTATTTATTAAAATGACCATATTCCATTTATTAGTTTTATTTTCATTGTTATTTTACATCAGTGGCTCAAAGTCTATATCATTTCTTAATTATATTTTTCTGTGTGTTTCACATAAATCTAGACCAGGGGTGGGCAAAATATGGCCTGCGGGCCGTATTTTAAGCCCGTCTAACATTTCTGTCCTGCCTGCTATGACTCCCTGCAGTTGTGTAAGGAACATAATGGGGTCTTTATATAATCGATGTTGAGGTAATTTAATTAATATGGTATAAATGTGCAGCTCGCAATGATTTGCAACAAAAGTTTGTGGAGTGGCCCCTCTGCAAAAATTATTGACCACCTTTGATCTAAGCCATGTTTCAATTCTAACTTCTTTTGATGACCTAAACCTTGTCTGTGTTCTGAATACCATATTTTTTTCCTTTTGCGTGTGTGTGTGTATCTTTTCTAAAGTTAAAGAATCATGGTTGTCATTCTGTCTACAAAACATATTTTCCTTTAAAATCTAGTTACTGCCATGTATACTAGTGTGAACATTTTGGTGATTTGTAGCCAACTAACACTTTAAGAATTAAAAATGTGGACTTGTAGGACATATAATTTTGAAATGTATATATCAAAGTATGAATTAAAGTTCCTTTAGGTTATAGATTATTTTTCCATCCATTGTGAAGTGTATAGAAGTACTTGGACGAGGTTGTTTGTCAGAAGAACACATGGCAGAACTTTTAAAAGTTCTTGACAAGAGTCTTAAAGATCATTTTGAAAGAGCACAAGAGCGGCAGGAGAAGAGAAAAGATGAGGACTATGATGAGATAGTGGAAGAAGAACTATTAGATGAGGTATGGTTACTGCTAGTAGGGCCAGTTAAAGGGAGGAGGGCATTTGGCCTGAGCCTCAAGCCAAAAGGGACCTCAAGCTTAGACACTTGTTATTTTTTTGCATTTGTTAAGTTTTATGACTTGTTTTCTATGTGCCTCCCAATCACACCAAAATGTGACACACACACTCAGCTTGGAGCTGCAAATTATATATATATACAAATGAAATGTTCAAATTATGTTTCACTTTTTTTTGGGGGGGGGGGGCTAATGATTGTCTTAATTTGTTTTCATGTGCTGTCATTTTTTTATTATAGCCAGGGGCTTCAAAAGATAGAAGAGACCTGGGCCTCTCTGAGAGGGCCTGACTACTAGTTCTAATACATGTTAATATTTAAAAATTGTAAAATATCAGTATTTGAAACTATTTTGATAAAAGAGGAGAAGCTTAATTAGAATTTGTTACATACTACTGTGTCACTTTTAAGTTTGAGGAATAAAATATCCTAAATTGTGTTGAAATTTAAATGTCCCAACTTACTTAATAATCAATTGTAATAAATATTTGTTGTTCTGAAGGAAGTGCAAGTTCAGGTCAAGACTCTGTCTAAATAATAAAGTAGCTGAAATAATGTTTCTTGTATAAATTATTATCGATAAATTCTCATAGAAAGTAAAAATTAAATATTAAAATATTGTTAAAGTTTTGATACAAGGTATTTTCTTTTCCATATTTCAAAAATGATTAATATTTTAGGTTTTTTCTTTTTTTATCTTTAATTAGGATCTCTACCTACCTGGTGAAATGTTTAGTTTTACATTTATTTAAGGATTGCTAAAAAAATCATAAATGGAGACGCTTATTTTTAAAAGTAATACTCAGTAAGTCTGACTTTAGAAACATAAATGATTAATAATAAAATTTGAAACTTGTCAGAATTAGTAAAATAAAGATAACTGTTCAATGTTGATCTTCAAGAACTTCTAAAAGTTATTCAGGGTGTTAATTATTTATAAATATTTTTATACCAAAAATATGCATTTTCAAAATAATTGAATGTAATGTACTTTATACCTTATAAGTGATTTTCTGTGTGATATTGGTAATTCTAAAGATGCATGTTGAAAACATTTCTTATTGTAGAAAATTATTTTGACCTTACCTATGTGTCAGCTAAGTTGTTTTTGCCAGTTTGTTACTACTTGATGTACTAGTTTATATATACACATTGGTCTATGCACCCTCAAGTTTTATACAACTTCAAGAAACTTCTACAGGCATCTTTGCCTATTTTGAAACACATTGACTAACAACTTTTCTGGAATTGCATAATTTATTTTGCACATTCTTCGAGATTACATGCGAGTGTAAAGCTACATTTCATGTATTCTCACAGCAAAAAGTCCTCAGCATTAGTTGTGTCTATTGATTGTACCACAAAATAGAATGCTACATCATTGAGAATGAAAATGCATTTGAGAAATTTATTGTCATGAGCCTTACAATTTGAAAGCCTTGTAGTCCTCTTTGTGTACTTATTTCACCATTTTAAGTTCAAATACATAAAATTTTAGTTTTTATGTTAACACTATTCTTTGGTATATGTTGCTCATTAAATAGCTCTTCTCACACAGTTTCCTGGACAGTTTTGAAAGATTTTATTTACTGAGGAAACATTTTGTCTTCAATTTTGTTGGGTCATACATTGATCCACTTAAGACACACAGATCCTCTATTGTTTTCATAATTGGCACTGAAATAAATAGAAAAGTAGACTCAAAAACTTTGTACCTTAAAACACTATACAATTTATTTGCTGCACACTGTTAGTTTTAGCACTGTGTAGAATCTTAATCTTAATTTGGTGAAATAGTATAAAATCTGAAGGCTTTAAAACAAAATTTACTTTACACAAGCCTTTAACTTTCTCTGTTTAAAAGTTGTGTTATAAAAAGTTCACAACCATTTACAGACACTGTACATGTCAAAACGTAATTTTGATAATAGAGTATTGGAAATTTTATAGGATGATGAAGATGTCTATATCCTCAGTAAAGTTGCAGATATTCTGCATTCATTATTTAGCACCCACAAGCAAGACTTTTTACCTTGTTTTGATCACTTACTTCAACATTTTGTCAGGCTTTTGGTAAGTATCTTATTTTTAAGAAGATAGTCTTAGTTTTATTCAACTTTAAAATGAAAGACTGACTAATTTTGAAAGAACATATCAACTGTTTAATAAGTTTAAGCAATGAAAAAACTCTTTCCATAATTTCTTGGAATGCTTTTAATGTCTTTTGAAAGTATCAGTTTTTTATCTAATTTGCTTTCAATAGTTATTTATTATCTGTAAAATGTCATCATTCTGATTATTTAACCAAGAAAACATTCAATTTGATTGATCCTAATAAAAGTGTATGATATGCCAATTGTTGAAAAAGTTTATTGTTTGTGATTTCTGATGTGGTCGTCTTAGGAATTTCTGTCCGATCTCAAAGCCACTTCCAAAATGCAGTCGAGTAATCTATATAATGAAGTTAAAATAATTTCTTTTTGTAATTATGGCTTAGGTCTTTTTCCTTTAAATATGTATTATATGTTTCTAAATGTAAGGAAACCAAGATTTAAGAGTATTTTTAGTCTGCAGGCTGTGATAATAATATGAAATTTTAGCTTTTCATAGCTTAATAGCTATTGGGTTAATGAGCAACATAGGATTTACATGTAAACTTAAACATGCTTAACTACTTCTGGTCTCATTTTTAACAAAATCCAAACAAACAATAAAGCTTAGAGTGTTTTCATAAGCTTCAGAAGGTGTTTTCTAGAAGTAACTTTAAATTTTGTCTTAGGGTCATGACAGATCATGGGCTGATCAACAGTGGGCAATCTGTGTATTTGATGATGTCATTGAACATGGAGGTTCTGTAAGTGTTTAAATTTTTTTATTCTCAAGTTGATTGGGCAAAGCTTAATTTAATGGGCTTTCATAGAAGTATGGAGAGCTTACTCTTTGGAATTTAAACTAGAACTCTGACAGTTTTGAAATTGATAGATCATTTGTATAAAATTGAATTGGATAATTATCAGCCATTTTGAATCCAACATTAGAAAACATGACAAAGGTTTATCCAAACATAAGAAGTAGAGACAATATAGTGAATATATTATACCCTTTTCTAGAAACAATATGTCTGCATGGATATGTTCTTGTTTTAATTGGTCAATTTATCATGTATTATGTGAATGACTTAAATGTGTAATCCAGCATGTATGACTCACCCCTTGTTTAAGTCATGTGGCATGTAGGAATTACTATAATTAATTAATTAATATATAATTGAATATTTAATAATCCATTTAAAGGCTTGTTTGTTTGTTCAAGGGTAAACTTTTGTACCCAAACAAAATTATTATTTCTATTTCTCAATAGAAACAATTACCAGTTTCATGGATAGGGGTGTACTTTTATACAATTTAAAAATTATATCAGGTATATTAGTTAATTCATACTTGCCATGTTTTAATGTAGAGATCTTGTAATAGTTAATTTTCAAATAATCTTAAAATTCTGTGATCTTCTTGTATTGAATAAAATCGAGATTAAATTGCATTTTGTTCCATTTTTGAGACTTAAAACTTTGTCACAAAATATTTTGCAAAACATCTCTGTGTTTAATATGTATATTGCTTTATTGTAGATTCATGTCAACATTTGTGGCTCAAATGTTTTTATGGGGGATTTGAAGAATAAGACACTTTTTTTTTTCATGCATAACTTTTAATAAAAAACAAAACAAGAAACTATCGAGATAGTGTTTACAAAGTTTCAACAGAGAAATATTACTTTTATAAAGAAAAGTATGATACTTTTTTGGGGGGGGACCACTTGTTTGGCTCACTTAACCCACTAGTTACTGTTGTTGGTTTTTTTTTAGGGGGGGGGATATATCTAACATAACTGATTTTATGAAAATGCTTTCAACTCTGTTAAAATAAGCTTAAAATTAACAAAGATTCAGACTGTTCTATAAAAAAAAACATAAATAATATGGAATACTTTGTTATTAGCTTTACTCGCATTAATGAATCAGGGTTGTATTTATTAAATGTAAACTGAAGTTAAATGTTAGAACTAATGTTAGTCTGTACTATTATTTGTGCCTTTTAGGGTTTTTCATTAGTTTAGAGACTCAGATGCTAATGTTTTCTTGTTGTCATTTCTTATAGGCATGTGTAAAGTATCAACAGTACTTTCTTAAGCCGATGTTGGATGCTTTAGCAAGTCCTAACCCTGAGGTTCGACAGGCATCTGCTTACGGATTTGGTGTAATGGGTCAGTTTGCAGGGGAAGGTTTTGCCAAAACTTGTGCTGGTAATGGTTCTCATAATGTATTGTTTGTCATTTATGTAAATTTGACAGATTTTGGTAATTCGTGGATAATTGTGATATTGTTTTATTAGCCATTGGTTCTGATGTATGCAATGTAGTTACTAGAGACTAGCATTTAGTACTTAGTGAAGTTTATAGAAATATAAAAATTCTCCTTCAAAAGTTTATTGTACAGCATATGTTCATTAAGTCTGTCTTAAGTAAAACGTACTGTGGCTTTATTTCAAAATAATACATTAAAGTATTAATATATATGGGTATACCTGTGTTAACATCTTGATCCTTTCATTTATATCATTGTGCTGTTATTTTCAATGATATTGATTATTCATAAAAATCTTGACTTTAAATCATTGGAAATACTCGTGTCAAAAAAATACAAATTTCACTGAGTACTTAGAAAACGTATATTGAGAGATACAAAATCATTAATACATTGAGCAGATTTTTGAACATAGTTGTTATTTTCTTAATGACTTAAATCACTGGACAACTTTATTATAATTTGTTTTTAAAGTAACTAATAATCAGAGCCAAAACTATGTCTAAGTCAGTTCTCTGCAGGTTCAGTAATTTGGCAAATGCATGGTGATTTATATGATGTTAAGCAGTGTAAAATTAGTTGAAAACATTGCCGTAACAAATTTATAAATCTTTTGACAGATGCTACACCTCATCTGATACAGATGATCAATATGTCAGAGTCACGTTCACCAGAAAACCTAGCAGCCACAGAGAATGCTATTGCTGCTGTCACAAAGATCTTAATGTACAACAACAGCCATATATCTGTAGATGAAATTCTGCCCCTTTGGCTTGGGTGGCTGCCTGTATGGGAGGATGAGGATGAAGCCCCTCATGTTTATGGTTTTCTTTGCACACTTCTTGAACAGTAAGTTTAAGTCATTTATAAACTATATTTTTGAGGATATACATATACAAAAAATACCCATGCTATGCATTAAAGTCACCAGTTTATAAGGGTTATGTTTATTTTAATTGGTTTAAATCTTATTTTACTTAAATAACCAACTTACTGTGTTTGTCTTGTATTCCCTTTATTTCTGATGTTTATTGGTAATAAGGTCTAATGTGTATACTTGTAAACGAGTATCAAGTTTTCTTTAGTTTTTCACATAAACCAGATCATATCTACTACAAAATGTAAAATATTTCACAAGCAGTAAATATTTAATCTGATCGTTTTTAGGAATAACACCATCCTGTTGGGCAAGGACAACTGTAATTTACCTCATATAGTGGCTGTTATGGCTGAAGCTTTTGCCCGAGAAGCAGTAGATCCACAAACAGAGGTTGGGAAAAAAATGACTACTTTATTACACCATCTCCAGGTGAGAAATCTAGATGTGATAGTTTCTGAGAAAGGTTTGGAACATCATTGAACATGTAAAATAGTACAAAGGTCATAGTCATATTGAAATAGTTATAGCTTAATGATTTTCTACTGAATGATCAGGTTAATGAAGTGATTCATTTATAAGGTGCATGCTTTGATCCAGTTAATTTTTGTAATACTTTCAGATCAACAGTGATGTATTTGCAGTATGCTTAAAACAACTCACACCTGGACAGCAGCAAGCCCTTCACCAGTTATTAGCCCTACATTGACCTTACATGCACTTAACTCTGCTCAACTAGTTTATAGTGATTTTTGGTTTGTTAAAAAGAAATACATCAAAGTGATTAGTTGCAGAATGACTGTTGCTTTACCCTGGAGCAAAAAGAATATCTAACAGAACATGCCTCTGGAACCCAAAGTTGTATATTAAAATTTAGTGAAATTTTGCTGTATTTCATTCCTATTCTTTCAAAAATAAATAATATTTAATGTTTTCTCTAAGTTTTTGGTGTATTTCTTAATGGTGTTTTGTTTTTCCTGGTAGAGTTGTAAGTTTATTTTTGTGCTTTGGTTCACATGTTCACATAAGATCAAAGTTAATATACTTTTTTCGTGAAATTCTGACATAAAGAGATATATCAGTCCCGTGTGATATGAAAACGTATCTAGTTAGTTTTCAAAACATTGGAATATTATTGACAGAAGAATGAACATACATTGTATCATAGAATGTAATATAAAAAAAGTCATACTACACAACAAAAATCACATAAATACAAATATACAGATATTAAAGGTGATATGTTTGGGTAAGGGTCAGTGATTAGGCTTTACAACAGTATTGGTTGTATTGCTACCCCAAACTGGATTTGTGTGTAATATGGTGTTTACTGTACATATTGTGGAGTATCAAATTTATAAAAAGGAACTACTTTGAAATGAGTCTGATATATTAATCTATGGATGTTATCATATATTAACTCAAATTTATCAAGAAAAGGAAATGAGTATTAATATACAAAACTATACATTTTGTATGTCAGTTGTACAATAACAGTCAACATTTTTTTTTTTTTTTTTTTTTTTTGAGATTTATAAATTTTACTGAGGAAAAACTTGATATTTGTTTAGGCAGTTTTTAGAGGTT